ACAACAACAACAACAACAACAACAACAACAACAACAACAACAACAACAACAACAACAACAATAATAATAATAATAATAATAAGGGTAATTAGCACAAAATATCCCTACCTTTCGATGTTTTTGTGGAAAACGTCCCTACCTTTCATTTTTTGGCGGATTACACCCTTACCTTTACCTTTTTTTTGCGTAAAACGTCCTTATGTCAACTCTCCGTTAAAATGCTCCGTTAAATCAAAGGGTAATTAGCACAAAAGGTCCCTACCTTTTAATATTATTGTGTAAAACGTCCTTGCCTTTCATTTTTGGCATAATTAGCACAAAAGGTCCCTACCTTTAAATATTATTGTGCAAAACGTCCCTACCTTTCATCCTTTAGCATTTTCATCCCTACCTTTCACCTTTCATTGCGAAAAAAGTCCTTTTCATCCATTTTTTTAATAAAATGACGATTTTACCCTCCTATTCAAATAAAACAAAAAGAAAAGAAAAGAAAAATAAATAATTAATTGCAATCATAGTCCTAAATCTTTCAAAACATTACAAATTAATCTTAAATTCTCTACTACCGCCACTTTCATAACCCCACCAAACCATTACCTATAGATCCATATAGTACCACCTTTCGGCCACAACACCTATCAAACTCCACCACCACCAGCCTCGCCTCACTCTCCCCAATATCCTCCTCCCTAGTGTTGGTCACCAATCTGTCCGAAACAACCACATTTACGATGGTGGAGTCTAGCGGGCATGGTGGCAGAAAGGTGGTGTTATGTTAATTTATAGTTGGCAGCGTGATATGTTGTGAAAGTGGTGGTGGTTGGGAATTTATGATTTATTTGTAATTTTTTTAAAATTTAAGGACTATGGTTACAGTTGGTAATTCATCTTTTTTTTTTGTTTTATTTGAATAGGAGGGTAAAATCATTATTTTTTTTTTAAAAATAGATGAGAATGACCTTTTTCGCAATGAAAGGTGAAAGGTAGGGGTGAAAATGCTAAAAAATGAAAGGTAGTGACGTTTTGCACAATACCATTGAAAAGTAGGAACCTTTTGTGCTAATTATGCAAAAAAGTGAAAGGTAGGAACGTTTTGCACAATTATATTGAAAGGTAGGGACCTTTTGTACTAATTACCTTTTGAAAAAAATAGATGAGAATGACCTTTTTCGCAATGAAAGGTGAAAGGTAGGGGTGAAAATGCTAAAAAATGAAAGGTAGTGACGTTTTGCACAATACCATTGAAAAGTAGGAACCTTTTGTTCTAATTATGCAAAAAAGTGAAAGGTAGGAACGTTTTGCACAATTATATTGAAAGGTAGGGACCTTTTGTACTAATTACCTTTTGATTTAACGGAATATTTTAATGAGGAGTTGACAGAATGATGTTTTGCGCAAAAAAAAGGTAAAGGTGAGGGTGTAATCCGTAAAAAAACGAAAGGTAGGGACATTTTTCACAAAACAATCGAAAGGTAAGGACGTTTTGTGCTAATTACTCGGATGGAGAATATAAAATAAGATGGAAAAATGATAAAAAGCTCCTACCCATGGCATCCTTAGTAAGCTTCAGTCTCATTTGATGGAAGACTCAGAAAATTAGCAACCAACACTTTTACTAACATGCAAGAAGTGAGAGAAGCAAATGAAGGTTATGGAGGCCGGGAGACAAGGCAAGAGTTGAAGGCTAGATTCTATGAAGCTAGTGAGGGTTTAAAACACGATGGCATAGGTTAGGTCCTCTTGTACATAACATAAGCTATTTCAAATAAGTTCGTTGCTCCGTGTATGAAATTACATTCTGTGGGAGACATAGCTGAGCATGGGATACAAGGGACACAACCAAATGCTAAGGCGACCAAGCAATGTAGGTTGGCAGCCATTCATGGAAGCATGAAAATGCTCGTGGAGAATTCCAGAATTACTTAAAATGTAGTACAGAAGTTCAAATCTTGAGAAGGAACATGTAGAACATTCTAATAGATAAAGAGAAATGTACCAGAGTGACATTCTAAAACACTGTATAATACAAAATAATACTAAGTCATACTTGAAGCATGTTTTGTAGGTATTTTTCTAAAATTACTTTCGGTCAAATTTGATTTGTATTCACATAATTTATGGAATTCACTTGTATTAGACATTTGGAAATTGCTGGAGTAACAGGGGGCTGACTGCCCCCTGACAGAACCCCACCAACAGGAGTGGGTCCTGCACAAAAAAAGGGCCCTCCCCCACCTATTGGTGGGGTTCTATCAGGGGGCTCCAGCATTTCCACATTTATCTAGTTACATATATACAATTGAAATTAATTATAATCACCTAATAAACATTGCAGGAACATGATATTTACATGTTTTGAATCAGTAACCTTTTATTATACTTAA